CTTCAGAGGGTGAGTTCTGTCTCTGTGAAAAATACTAGGGCCGGGACTTTAACACGTTAATTACGATTAATTAACGCCACAAAATTAGCGCGTTGAAAAAGAATTTACGCATTTTAATCTTGTGTGTATTTTGCACCGCGGAACTCTCGTCATTGAGTGAGTTTCAGACGGACTGTTTATACTGAAGAACCAATTTGAACTCTGTACATATCGGCGTTACTCTTATTATCAAAAGAACTGTGTCAGTTCAGTCAGGTAAGTCACAGAAGAGGGAGTTTCGTTGCTCTTCTCATGCCACGTATATAGTGAGCCCATGAGAAGACAGTTTGTAAACAATCTCATTTTTACCTGCATGGTACACTGAAAGCCTAGCAACCTATCAATTGACATGGTGAGCTCAGTCATGGTGCAAACACTTAACAGTCAACGGACTTGGATTGAGTGGATAATTTTAGCTTATCTAACCTTAAGCATTACAAAAGAAGCAAGCATAAAATCGCGATTAAAAACCACGTGACAAATGGAGTACCTCACTGAAAAAGTTATGTGCACCCCTGATTGTAATAACGGCGTGAACGGAGAAGGAGGAGGCGGAGTAGGAGCAGCCCTTATTCAATGGTAAACAAAAAATCCATGTGAAAAAAATTACTTCTCACTGTTCCCAGGTCAAATATTTATATGCGATTGAAATGCGATTAATCGAGATTAATTAATTACAAAGCCGCTAATTAATTAGATAAAACATTTTAATCGCGTCCCGGCCCTAAAAAAATACAAATTTGTACTCCAGTTGATTACTCCACTACCTCCAATGTATGTATATATATATAATATTATATATATATTTTTTTTTTTTATTACATTGTGCATGTAAAATTACTGTCAACATTTGAAAATCCTGTTAAAATATCATTATTTGCTCCCCTCCCCCTCTAAAAGCCGCGTTGTATGCGGCTGGGGTCCGCTGTGACAAAAATTTTATATTTTTGGTCTGTCACAGGTCTGAGTTAAGTAGTTGACTCCACACTATGTCCTGTTGTTCGTACACGGCAAACGACAGTTTGCAGCCGTTACACGCACTCTTAATATCATGTCAACTGCCCGGTAAGGATTCCACCAGTCAATGCTTCTCAGCCTTGATGCTGAGAAGGCATGTGTTATCAGCGATGGGCTTTGATGGAAAGTTCAATGAGTCATTTTATGTATTTTATTCAAAACCAACCTCCAGGGTACGTTTGCTTTTTGTTTTTTGCGTACTTAAGAATGTGAGTCATTATTTGACTTTCTGGGCTGAGAGTGGATTGAAATAGAATTAATAGGCGTTAATAGGTGAGAGAAAGTATAACAAAAGTTATGACTGTATCTACAGTTCTATGAATCCTGCATTACTGTGCTTAAAGCAATGAATGATCATCTTTGGGCATGTGCAGTTCGAGAATTAATTGACAAACAAAGTCACTTGTGACTTCTCCGTGAGTCTATATAGTCACATGACCTACGTGAGTCTATACAGTCACGTGACACAAGAGCTCAGTCCCTTTTTGTCTCTCAAGCAGGCTCAGAGCCCGAGGGAATCTTGGCAGTCATCCAGGAGTCATATAGTTCTATATCATCCGTCCTGACTGGAAGAGGCGATGCCATACCAACAAGGTCCCAAGGGGTCAAACGTGAGGTACACACTGCCACTTCACAAAGTTGAACGGTGCATTAGCTCCCCCTCCAGCGGACTGGGGGCCGCAACATATCACATCGGTAGTACGTCGCAAAGTTAGATGAGGTCCAGGAGGCCATCTATTTAAGTTGCCCAGGTCTATGAAGATCTACCCGGTTTTCCATGTGTCTCAGCTCCAAATAAAGTATTTGGTCACCTACAAACAAGCAAGATTTCTGGCTCTCACAGACCTGTAACTTGTAACTTATAATTTAGGAGGCTCCTCTGTCCACCTGTTTGGTACACCTGTCCACAACCTCAGTCACACTCTAAACTTCAGTTATTGCCAAGACCAAAGAGCTGTCAAAGGACACCAGAAAAATTGTAGACCTGCAACAGGCTGGGAAGACTAAATCTGCAATAGGTAAGCAGCTTGGTGTGAAGAAATCAACTGTGGGAGCAATTACTAGAAAATGGAAGACATACAAGACTACTTATGATCTCCCTCGATCTGGGGCTCCACGCAAGATCTCACCCCGTTTGGTCAAAATGATCACAAAAACAGTAGGCAAAAATCCCAGAACCACACGGGGGGACCTGATGAATGACCTGCAAAGAGCAGGGACCAAAGTAAAAAAGGCTTCGATCAGTAACACACTACCGGAAAAAGTTGCCTTGCCCTCTGGGTGCCTTGGGTGGAGTGGTCCTTCCTCAAGTGTAGGAGTTCAAGTATCTCAAGGTCTCAGGGAAGGATGGAGCGTGAGATTGACAGCCGGATCGGTGCAGCGTGCGCAGTAATGCGGTCATTATATCGGACCGTTGAGGTGAAGAGGGAGCTGTGCAGAAAGGCAAAGCTCTCACCGGCTAGATGCATGCAGCAAACACAGGAAACGCGGTCAAAACAGGAAGATGTAGACACTCGAAAACAACAAAAGCAAGAAAGATAAAAACAGGATTAAACCAATGGGGGACTCATTGCTTGCTGAGTTGACATTCTACTGCCACTGGATACAAGTGCTGCTAACGTGTTCAGTTACCATAATCAATCAAATTTTATTTATAAAGCGCTTTTCATACAAAAGATGCAACACAAAGTGCTTTACATATTGGTTAAAATCTATTTATGATTAGAAACTGATGTATGTGATTTATGTATGATGAGAAATGTACTGATTGTGTTAATGTATCATCTGAATGTGTGGTTGTGACATGTGTATTGTGTAGGTGTGATGCTGTGAATGAAGTGTGGTTTTAACAAACAGGTATGAGGCTAAAGGTGTGTGTCTGTATTAGAGATAATGTGTTGTATTGCAATTGTTGTATTGCAATGTTATTTTTTTAGGATTGTACATTACTGTATCCATGTATTTTATTGATGTAACCAGGGACTGCAGATGGGAACTAGCTGTTTAGCTATAATCTGGTGCAGAACATATCTGTCTTTGAGCTTAATGTCTCTGTACACTGTCCATTCAAATAAAGACTAAACTAAACTAAACTAAAAACAATCCCGCTCATGACCCCTCCCCTCAACCACCCAACAGACCACCCCAATATTATTAGGAACCAGGGCCGGAGTGGGACAACATTTCAGGCCGGGAGCTTTTCATCCATTCAGGCCAAACAAGGTTCTAAATTTGGGTTTTTGTCATTGTATTTTGATGTTCTTTTAATAGTTTTAAGATTGACTGTCAAAACTTTTATTTTCTTTTTTTTTTTTTATATTGACTGTTTATATAATCTCGGACGTTTAAGGATTGTTGTACGTTGCTTAGCAACGTAACGTTTATGGAGTTTAGTGAGAATAAAGACACACACACAATGAACTAAGTGTTCATTAGTGTATAACTATAACAAGCTAATCAATTATTGTTAAAAAAGTAGTAAGGTAAAATCACATCGTTACAGCTCATATAAAAGGAAAAATAAAAACGTGTATGAACCATCAGTTGGAGAGACCACTGATTTCAACCGGGGAAGCTACACTGGGTGCACTGCTAGGCTGGCCTGGCTGTGTAGCCGACGTGTGACGTCACATTTGTTTAATTTTGCTCTGGCCCAATGACAGTAAAGCTTTGGCCAGTGTTGTGCCAGTTCACAGCTTTTCTGAACTAGTTCAAGTTCAGTTCATACATGCTCAAAGTGAACAGTTCACGTTCGAAGTTCTCAATTTTAATTCTGAACTAGTTCAAAGTTCAGTTCATTTTACTTTTTGCGAGATATTCAAATAAATATTTTTTTTCACTACGAGCTAGAAATCACAATACGTGGTATATATATATATATATATATATATATATATTATATATATTATATCCTGTACACTGCACAGGATGTTTTGACTCCAATGCAGACAAGATTTACATGGGTTTCAATGGGAACTGAGTTGTCCCATCTCTGCTCATAAGTACAAACTGTAATGCGCTGCAGAAAGTGTGTCTATACTTTATGTCAAATGTAAACGGCCCTGTGTCACTGACTTACCCCTGTGTTTTCATCACGGCACATGTGAGTCCAACAACCAATGAATAGCACTAGCATATAGCGCCGCACCGCAAGTAGTACACTGAGTCGGGGTGCGTTCACAGACGGTGGAAACCGTAGGAATTTTTACTTTTCGGCGGAAACAGTGCGGAGAATACAGGAGGGAGGAACTTTCTCTCGTTGCGTTTCAAAAGAGAAAACAGATTTCACTCAGTTTTAAATGGAAAACAAATTGTCTGCCGTTCATGACACATAATATGAACTAATTCACGTTCAAGTTCTTTATAAAAAAATGTGTTGCGTTCAGTTCAACGTTCACGAAAAAATGAGCGTGTTCAATGAACGCGTTCTTTTGAACTCGTTCACGCACAACACTGGCTTTGGCCTGGGCCTTGCTCATTGGACCAGGCCACCAGGCAGGGTAGGAGTTTGCAAAGACCGTGAGGATGAAATTAAATTAAAATGAAAAAAAAAAAACATAAAAAATAAAAATAAAGACCGTGATGATAGGACACGCAGGCCACCGGGAGATCTCCCGATGCTCCCGATGGCCAGTCCGGGCCAGTTAGGAACTCACACACACGCAGACAAACCCAAAGGGGTCAATAGGTAGGTAAAGGTCAAATTCTAAGCCTATAACAACAATTTAATACTATGGTGGAGGTGAATATTCTTAAAAAGGTCACTTTTGTGATTGGTTAACGCTTGTTGTCATTTTGGGGCAACTGTAAAAATTAAAAAAAGGAATCTTGTTACTCTAATGTTTTAGCAATTAAAGTCATGCTAATCCTAATACAATTTTCCACTCAAATAACTAATTTTATAATTATTATTGTATGTTATTATAAACATGTCAGGCACATACCTTGCGGCAGAGTCCAGAGAAAAGGACCAGGCTGAAGTTGTCTCTCTGTTGCAGCTGTGCGGACACATGGCTGAAGCTGGAGCTGGTCTGAGGACAGTCTCTGATCTAAGGTCCACAAGGAAACACCAAACAGAGAAATCAACATTATATCACATAATGCTGTGGTAGAACTGGTCACATGATCTATAAAAAACAACTTATTTATCTTTTCCTCATGTCGCAACATTGTTCATCATCAGTCTCAAACCAAACACGTGACTCTGCCCCTTCTGTCTGAAGGCAGCCTGGATTTCTAAAATCCGTTCTGAGCTGTCTGTTAGAACGGACTTACACAGATAGTAAACATGTAGGGCTCTGAAAACTGCAGTCATCAGGCCCCTCCTAAAAAAGAGCTGTCTGAATGCCACAGTGCCACGGCACAGCACCACAGCCGGAAAGTCCTTGAAAAAGTTTCTACCAACAGCTTACCAAATTTCTTATAATCATCAATCATCAGGAAGTACTTGGAGATTGTAAACTTTGTCTCAGATCATATGGCCCTGACCTGCCGAGTTCCACATAGGTCAAGCATTGGGTTTCTTTTGTTCAATCTGGCTGCCTTTAGGACACATTTCTGCATACTAAATAACCAAAATTTCAACCACGCAGACAACAATATGTCTCACAGACTGCGGGGGAACATGGACTAGTGGACTCACTTCTTTACTGCATCCAACAGATCAGTGAATGGATGCAAAAAAAAAATATTACACGTAAATGCAAAGATCACAAAATGATTGTCCTTTGTCCCCAGAAACAAAGAGTGCGCATTATCTGTCCCCCTCCAGTCCCTCTCCCGAAAACCTTCAAATCAGGTTATAAATCTCAGGGTAATAATGGAGTAATGGTAGCTTTTTACTATTTAGAAACATTGCCAGGACATTGCCAGGTTAGACCTGCTCACTGGTCTTTCCAATGAGCTGCAGTATTTTCAAAACGCTGCAGCTCGAGTTGTGACTAGAACCAGAAAGTACGTCCACATTAGTCCAGTTTCTGTGACTTGGAGAATACATTTTAAAGCAGCTCTGTTTGTGTACAAGTCTCTGGCCTCGCGCAAAAGTACATCCGTGACATGTACCATATGAACCAACTCGGAACACTACTGGTTTCCCACTGGTGGCCAGATACAGAACTAAACATAGGGAGGAAAATCCAGGTTAAAAGCAGTTCTGTCTAGCTGTGCATATATTACAACTGAAGGATTTTATTTTCACTCTCTTTAATGTACTGCAGTTATTTATTATTTCAATGCCTTGTGTTAATGTTTTTGAACTGTTCTGTGTAAATAAACTTTGCCTTGAAATTTCCTGTCTCAGTCCTGCAATAGTGCGATTTCATTCAGAGACGCTTTCTGACCTGGGTACTTAATTTTTTAAGTTTCCTAAATAACACTTGTAGTTGTTCAAAAGAAGACTCTTCTAAGTATAAATGCAGGGAATAAATAAGACCGCAATAGTGATGTGTGTGTCACTATTTCACTCTTGGGCTGAGTGAGGATGGTCTTCTCTTTCTCAATTTCTAAAAGATCCTAAATGTGACAACTAGTGATAGAACAAAATAGCCAGGAACTAGTGATATGGATGTTACAGTATTTCTGTGTATATCTGCTGCTCTGTGCTGTCTGTGAAGTAGGCCAGCCTGTATATAGGTCATGTTCACTGCAGCCTCATTTGAATGTGGTTAAAGGTACATGCGTTCAGAGGCTCCACTTCCGTTTCACGTGCAGCAAAGCTGACAAACTATAATCTTGATTTGTTTTGGTGCAAAAGTGTCGCTCGGGACTCTCTCCGCGGCTTGCACTCACGTGACACAACTCAACCTACAAAGATCTATAGAAAAATGTAGACTTTTTACTCTGAAAACTGGGGCAAGACGTTTGAAGGACGCTACAACTTTCATGTACAAACGTTTTAGTACGAGGGCCACCAAACTGGTCCTGGTTTTACAGCTGTGGAAGTGGATCCTTCGCACTTGATACTTTTTCCCACTCTGTATTTTTATTGTTATGTTTATTATAATTAAGGACATTTAAGAACAATTATAGACATTTCTGGACAGGAGTCATCCCACTCCCTATGGACCAATGGTTCTTGTGTGTTTGTTATTATTGCCTTCAAACTGTCACGTGGTGGACTGTTAGAGGACCCAAAATGCAGGAAAAATAATGATTTAATGATGATAAAAGTCCAGAGACAAACAAACTCAAAAAATCCAAACAGGAACAGGAACAAGAACAAGAACAAGAAAACAAGACCGTACAGGGCAGACGTTGGCAATACAATAGACCAGAAACAAGAGGAGAGAAGCACAGGGTACATATAGACACAGACACAGGTGAAACACATCAGGGCGGGGCAGACAATCAAGACGGGGGAAAACACGACAGGAAGTCAAACTAACACCAAACCACAGAGAAGAGATGTCAAAATAAAACCAAAGAAAAAAATTACCAAATCCAATCAATCAATTAACTTTTATTGTATGGCGCCTTTCCAACTCAAGGCAACTCAAAGCGCCTCACAACCCACATCATATCAAACAAATCAGAAACATTAAAATCTACATATACAAAAAATAAATACATTTAAAACAGAATAAAATTGCAAGTAATTAAAAACCTTAAAACATTAAAAACACACAGGATTAAAAAATAAATAGCCTCAATGCATAAAAAAAAAAAAAATAGAGTATAATCTAGAAAATCCTATACGCACAGCTAAACAGAACAGTTTTTAACCTTGATTTGAAAACTGACAGAGTAGATGCTAGCCTCACATCTTCAGGAAGATTAAGTACTTTGGAGTAAGGCCATGGAGAGACTTGTACACAAGCATTGCCGTCTTGAAGTCTATTCTCTGAGCCACAGGAAGCCAGTGCAGAGACCTGAGGACTGGACTAATGTGGTCGTACTTCCTGCTTCTAGTCAGAACTCGAGCTGCTGCATTTTGGACATACTGCAGCTGTTTTACAGCCTGTTTGGTAAGCCCAGTGAGCAGGCCATTGCAGTAGTCTAACCTACTGGAGACAAATGCATGGATAAGAATCTCCAGATCTGATTTAGACACTATGTTTCTAATTCTGGCAATATTTTTCAGATGATAAAAAGCTGCTGATGTTACTGATTTGATGTGGCTGTTAAAATTTAAGTCTGAGTCCAATACTACTCCTAGGTTTCTGACCTTATCTACAGGTTCCAAGGAGAGAGACTGCAGGTGACAAATAACGCTCTCTCTTTGTTTCTGGGGACTAAAGACAATCATTTCAGTTTTGTCTGTGTTTAGTTGAAGGAAGTTATGTTGCATCCACTCACTGATCTGTTGGATACAGTGAAGGAGTGAGTCCACTGGTCCATGTTCTCCTGCAGTCAGTGAGACATAGATTTGAGTGTCGTCAGCGTAATTTTGGTAGGATACATTGTTAGTGCGTATTAATTGACCTAACGGCAGTAAATATTGAACAGAAGAGGTCCCAGGATTGACCCCTGTGGCACTATGGTCATATGATTTGAGACACAGTTTCCTATCTCAACCAAATATTTCCTGTCTTCCAGGTAAGACCTAAACCAACTTAGAGCAGTCCCAGTGACACCCACCCAGTGCTCTAGCCTCAGCATGAGGATCTCATGGTCGACTGTGTCGAACGCGGCACTCAGATTCAGCATGACTAAAACTGTGACTTTTCCTGTGTCAGTGTTAAGTCGGATGTCGTTTGTAACCTTCACTAGTGCAGTCTCAGTGCTGTGATGGGCTCTAAAGCCGGACTGGAGCGCATCAAAAGAGATATTAGTTTCTAAGAATTCTGTAAGTTGTTGGTAAGCAACTTTTTCAAGATTTTTTCCCATGAACGGCAGATTTGAAATGGGCCGGAAATTCTTAAGAACCGTGGCAACTAGACTCCTCTTTTTAGGAGGGGGTCTGATGACTGCCGTTTTCAGGGCCATTGGAAATGTTCCAGATGAAAGAGACATGTTTACAATTTGCGTGAGCGAAGGTAAAAGACTGCTCAGAACAGACTTAAAAATGTTTGTGGGTAGTACATCCAGGCTACATGTGGAGGAACTCAGACTAGAGACAACATCTTGGACAGTTTCATTATCTGTTGGTGCAAAGTGCGATAGCTCAAAAAGCCTCACTGGCTTTTGTAATGTTATTTCTGCTGTGGAGGTTTTTGATGCTCTGCACCTTTTCATTGAAAAATTGTGCAAACTCATTACATTTAGATTCTGAGGTAAATTCTATTGACAGCTGAACAGGGGCATTTGTTAATCTGTTAACTGTTGAAAACAGAAGTCGTAGATTGTTATTGCAGCCATCAATGGTTTTAGAAAAATACATTTCTCTTGTTCTACGTAGCACCCTGTTTAACTTGCACAACTGTAAGATAAGATTCTGATCACCAGCCACTGCCAACACCTTTAGTGTAGTGGCCTCTGTGGCCTCTGTGGAGAAACACCATCATCAAAGGCATCCGTGTATTCCCCCGGTGTTCCAGGACAGTGACCACTCTCTCCCCCATCGAGACAGACAAGCATCAAAGACATCCCGCGTCAGTCTCACCACGGGGGAGGACGCCCTCTGCAAAAGGGATTTGGACTCTTTAAGACTGTAACTTTAGTGCCCCCTAGCAGCAACAAAGGTCTACACACATTTCAAACTTAAAGTGGACATATCGTGTTTTCAAATAATTGATTTTTACATCTAAATCATTAATTTGTGGCCTATATAAAGCGTAACTGCAATGCCTGGGTCTGAGTCTCATTATTTGTAGCTACACGGGCCTTTCTTCTACACCGGTTCTGAGGTGCGTCTGAGAGCAACCTGTTTTGGTGCTGTCTCTTTAAATGCAAATGAGGTGCTCTTGACCACGCCCTCATTCAGGTGACACATGTTCAACTCCACCCCGAGCGGCCATTTTTGTAGTTACTAAGCACACATACAATTATCTCATAGAAACTTCTCATTACATCGCAAACATGAAGCAGTCCTTCCTCATTGACTGAAAGCAAATGTTAAGTTTCATTCTTAGTCCAGTCTTATTATCGACTCTTCTCTTTTTAGCTTTGGGATCCATGCGCACAGTCTATGATGCTCACACGCCGGTTTGTTTACAACAGCGGCCGCCTGGCGCGGGCCTACGTTGCAGGATATGACGCACTATGTTGACAGAAATGTTGAAGTAATTGAATATTACTTATGCACAATTTTACAGCATTTAAAAACGTTAAGAAATGTTTTCCTTCTACAGAAGGAAAGAGACACATGCGCCTCCGGAGCCGCAGGTTCCCGACTCCTAGTTTATACAGTATGTGGAAGCAAATACTGTAGAGGATCAGGATATGTGCAGTTTCAGCAAAAAAATAAAATGCAATAGTCTACATTACAAGAGAGAATAAAGATGTCTCAGAGTGAGGGAGATGGACACAGACAACACTATTGTTTGTTACAGGGATGAGAATTGGTCAAAAAAGACTGAAATGCATATTGTCTGCCATTTGCTGGCTGTAAATCTGTTTAATTTGTTCACAACATATTACTTTTGGCTCAAACATGAACTTTTTATTCAATGCAAATGTAGGTATCAGAGCTTTATTTAGGGCGTTTAATCGCGCTTCGAGAGGAGAGGGGAGACGCGGACTGTTTCCTGCAGCAGTGTAATTATTGGTGGCACAGATTACTCAAAGACACGCATGGTCCTGTGCCCCAATGGCCAGTCCAGCCCTGTTCGCTGGCATCCTTGAGCTTGGACTACAAATTCGAAGTGATGCACAGTAGAGGAGGGCTGGGCCGAAGTGTTTTGTTAGACGCCCATGCCCTTATATAGCAGTCTCGCTGCAAATACTGTGACGTAATAATTCTAAACACTGATGTGAATAACATGCACATGCTGACACACAGACAAGAGTGAATAAAGTATAACCACCATAACAATGTATATTACCAGTAATCACATGTACTAACAATTATATTGATCAGTAAATGTTCTTATAAGTATCTCCATAAAATGTTCTTATATTATCAGTAAGAGTCTGCATAATAGGCCTTTGTTCCTTGTGTTAGTGCGGTCAGTGAGAATTCAAGGACAGGCTGGTCTCTGTGCAAAAGTAACCTTTTCAGGAACGATGTGTCTGCTTCGCATGAGACAAAAATCCAGTCTCAGGGACTGAGGTGATAAGGAGCCCATGACGTCTTCGAGGGACGAGTCCTGATTTTCAGCACATTTATAAAACTGTATTATGTAGAAATTGTGAACGAGTCTGGACAAGGGACCTGCAGTATAAAGTCAGAGCGCCTGACTTTATACTCATATATTGATTTGAGAGGGAGAGCTAATCTTAAATCCAGACCGCTGTTTAGACTCTTTGTATCAGGGAATAAACTCTTTGGATTTAACTTTTCGAATACTGGTCATCTTTATATGGGATTTTGAACACGTCACATTTTTTACAATAACACGTAATAGAGAATGGCAAAATCAGAACGGGTTGAAATATCTTACCTAAACAGATTATGAGGTGTTCTCTGCAACCCATGAAGAGACTGATTTCAACTTTTTTGCACTTCTAGAGGCTCCAACTACACAACATAAGGCATTTAAGGCACAAAAAGTGGATTTTTCATGATATGTCCCCTTTAAGTGTACTGTAAATGCATCTATGCGTCCAAATGTAAACCTGCATCTCTGTTGTCATTAATCTTTATTGAATTGTGAGTCACGATGTCTTTTGAAGTGTTTGTGCTTTAAACAATTATGTTTAATACATCTCACTAAACTGCATGCTCAAAAGTCTTTGTGTTGTGAAAGAGCCGGAAACAGGAAGTGACTACAACGTACCCGCCCACAAGACGGAAGACAAAAACCAATTGGAACGCTGCGCGCGCTCTTCTTGACTCGCTTATTCTCTTCTGCTCTTTGCCTCTTCTGGGTTTCGGCCCTCACGTCCTGTGCCCGCAAGCTGGACTTGAGCGAATGAGCTCCACCAAGCTCGTTTCCACCAGGCTCGTTTCTGAACTTTGCACAACTAAGTTGGATTAACGGCCTTCTTCCCTCTGTGACAACAAGCCGGACGGGACGGGACGATACGCTACACAGCACGTCTGCCACGGAGAACAACAACAAAGAAACTCCCTCCAGAGACCTGCGGGACCAAAAGCAGGACCACGTGTTTACTCTACCAACAAAGGAACTATACTAAAAGCCATCTTCACACAGTAAGACGTATTGTTGAATGCCAATGTGTGTAAATGTGTCTGCTTTTGGTTATGGTGTACATTTCTTTTGATTGTACACCGTAATCTTTTCACACTCAAAGATTCTTATTCTTTATTGAGGTTTTCTGTAAACCTCAATACCTCAATTCTGTAAATAAACAGCTAGAATTACTATCAGCCTCCGGTGTTATTAGGTAGTAGATAGTTTGGAGAATGAACTCTCTGGCGAATAGAACGCACACTTTTAGATTTATGAGACTGATTTAAACTGCTTATTCTTTAGTTAGGTCTTAAGACTTTTCATTCCTTTCTATTTTAAAAGAAACATACTCAAATGATGGAAAATTTCCAAGGAGCATTCTATGAGAGATAATATGATCTCTAAATATTGCAGCTATGCCTCCCCCCCTTTTATTTTCTCGTATTTCAGATTCGAATTTGAAGTTTGGTGGCGTTGCTTATATCCATCCATCCATCCATTTTCTTCCCCTTAATCCATTTCTGGGTCGGGGGGTGGCAGTCAGAGCTGCACCCAGTCACAAAGCACCAGCCCCTCACTGATCCTCCTGCAGATGGTGAGTCCACAGGAGCTGAGATCTTTCAGTGGGGGCTTCAGGCAAAGTGGGGTTAAGTGTCTTGCCCAAGGACACAACGACAGCAGTCATCAGTGGGAGTCGTGAAGTAGGTCTTACGGTGGGCTTGAACCCACGACCTTCAGGCTTAAAGGCCAATGCTCTACCAACTGAGCTACTGTCGCCAACTGAGCTACTGTCGCCTGTTGCTTATATTAAAACCGCATTTCCTGTACTCTGGTCAAGCCAAGTTTCAGTCAGAAACATAAAATCAAGATCATAAGAACAGATAAAATTATTAATTAAAAATTATTTGTTGCATAGTGATCTGACATTAAGCATAGCAATTTTAAAATTAATATCAGTGACAGTGGGTTTAGTTAATTGATTTTTACAAGGAAAAGGTATTAGATTTGATTGTCTAACTGCTGTCCTTCTGTTATGATTTCGTTTTCCATTCAAATAAAAACACTTTTTGAAACTGGTGCGAGGAACACACAGTTTCTATTTGTCTATTTTGCTGTTTAAGTCCCGGATTCAGGACGGCATTGCTTCGTTGTTCAGAGCAGGAGGCAGCACAGTTCAGAGGCAAGACTGTTATTTCACTGCCAGACGGACAGGGGTCAGTGTTCGCACCACAGTACTCAACCGGTGCTGGTGTGGAGGAGAAGAAGGAGGAAGGTGGTGGTGGTGGGGGCCGAGGGGGCTCAGATGTAAACAGTCACGCCCCCCTCGGGGAACACTGAATAACGTGGCGTAAATAGTCCATCAATATACTGGTGCCATATCTGTTTGGATGAAGACCATCTGGCCGATATGACGCTTCCAGAACAGGACAAAGTTGTTCACAAAAATAAAGTAAAACGAGCTACATGCAGACTGAAGCCACATGTTCAGCGCCACAACGCGACTGTAGAGGCAGTCCCTCCGGTTTACAATCGAGACTGGGCCAGAAATAAAAACAGATAATCCAGAGGACTGGAGGAGGCGGAACAGATCCATAAAGTGCTTCTTTGTGACCTCGGACTGCTGCAGCTTCATATCGTTGATCCCCACATGCACGACTAGCTTGGAGATAGTGTCGGGCAGGGAGTGAAGCAGAGGAGGGAGACGGATGAGCAGGTCTGGGACAGTAGCTCCGGGAACACAGTGAGTGACGATGGAATCTCCAACAATCAAAGTAGTCGGGGCGAAGAGTGGACGTGGACGCGGCCGCGGAGAGGGCGCCCGGTGGACAGATCCAGTGTCTTTCTGGCAGAGGACTTGGATTTACGAGGATACGAGGTAGAGAGCGCTGCAGAGTCCAGGGGTTCTGCTGATGGAGCCGGGATGTCAGAGGAGAGGGCTGCGTACCAGTTTGTGAGGGATAGGAAGTTGCAAGTCAAAGTCCCCGCCATCGTGGGCAACACCTCCCACCCACTGCACAGGACTGTGGAGGAGCTGAGGAGCTCCTTCAGTGGAAGACTGAGGCACCCTCAGTGCAGGAAGGAGCGCTCCCGCAGGGCCTTCATTTCCACCGCTACAATAAGTCACTTTAAATCATGCACTAGGACTGAAAAACCAGCACTGCTATTGCCACTGTTTCTTAATTGCCACTTTTTATTGTAAATAATATATCCTGAACAAACTATATTTTTTGCCTCTAGCATGTTTGCACACTTCTGTCTTTTGCACAATCTGAGTGACATGGACATTTCTCCAGCGTGAGATCAATAAAGTCTATCTTATCTTTTGTGACACTATCAAAAACCAAAGTCCATTGTATTCCAGAGGTTCTGAGCTTTACATTGTGGTATAGCATGCCTGTGTTGGCCACAGCTGAAGTCGGCTGGATGACATTGTGAACTTATGATCTCAAATACTACTTTGGTTTAGCAAGGCACAGAGGGTCACAGACCTTTCGTTTGGACATGCCTGATACACAGACAACTTGAGTGCTGTACACAAATTTCACAGCAATGGGTCATATTGTACCACTGTGACATCTCATTCAGAGCAGTTTCCTGAGCTACAGTATTAAACAAAGGTATGTTCCATATTCCCTCCAAATGTTTGTAATTTCTTAATTTTTCTTTTTCAAATGTATTATTTTTTGTGTGCTGATGATTGAATGAGGGTGGTAGTAGTGTCAGTTTTTCGTTTTAGTGTCAGACCAGATCTCTGCAGCTCTGTGTGTGGCGTGGAAGCCTTACGTTGCTAAGGTAGTCCCTCTCCCAGGCGCGCCGCAGTCCCCAGTCTTTCCTTTCTCCGCTCAGAGCCGAAAACGCTGCAGCTTTACATCGAACCTCCAACATATCCGAAGGCGGGATGTTCTTAACAAGCTGACGGGCCCACCACCTCAAAACACACACACACACACAAGATTAAAGGGATTTCTGTTCACTCAGTAACTGACTCAAACATGTACGTGACAGGGGGGCTCTCCAGTTCAACTCCGTGAAATTAGGATGAAATGTTTTAGACGCTACACTGGAAAAAAATGTCCGTGAAATGTTCTGAAAATTTCTGTAAAATGGTGAATGAAAAAAAGTAAATTATAAGTATTCAGTGTAAATAAATTCAATGTTTTAAAATTCATGTTTGGACATGTTTTTTTTTTTTTTTTTAATCAAATGTTTTTTATTGTTTTCAATAAGATAAGATAAGATGAACCTTTATTAGTCTCACAGTGGAGAAATGTCATTGTTGCGCACATTACAGCAGAGAAAGGAAATAAGAGCACACATCAAATAAGTATTTTGTTTTAAGATAAGACAATAAAATAAAGATAAGACTAAAATAAAATAAACTCTGGGCTATAATTGCACTTGGTTCAAAAGTATTTACAGATGTCTATGTACGTTAGCAGCGGAGAATATGGGAATATGCATATGAACAGAATATATATCAGAAATAATATCAACAGGTAAAGTGACTGGTGAAAGGCAGAAATATCAGATGGATATGTAATAATACAGTAATACTAACAGCAGGTAAAGTGGCTAGTGACAAGTTACTATAGTGAACTATCAGTGACACTTGTACAGACTCAGCAGTTCTTGTTACACATTCTCGTTGTACAGCCTGACAGCAGCAGGGAGGAAGGACCTGCGAAACCTCTCCTTCACACAGCAAGGGTGAATAAGTCTGTCACTGAAGCTGCTCTCCCGAGCAGAGAGAGTGTCAGTCATGGTCCAGTGTAACAGGTAAAAGTATTGTATTCCACTTGTTATAGACACTGTATTATAGTGGAACAGCGCCCTCTTGGGGTGACAGATCCTTTAAGTCTTGGGGAAAAATGTGCTCGGCGCCATTTTCACTATAAGCAAGCCGAGGTAAGGTCACAAAATTGGTGTGTCTGCTAAAGTTGCATTTGTATGTTTATTTTTCAATTGTATGACTGTGTGGGATGCTTGTAAACTTGAAAATGTCAATGTTTAGTTAAATTTGATTGCAGTTCAGTACATATAGGAATGTTAACCTTTTAAAATGTATACCCCACTAGCTGCTGCTCGTTTGCGGTGTCCCAGGTCCAAGGCTGACCAGCTATTTTGTGTGTTGCACAGGTACATTTATTTTATTGTATATTATATTTGGCCATTTTCACTATAAGCAAGCCGAGCTGCTGCTCGTTTGCGGTGTCCCAGGTCCAAGGCTGACCAGCTATTTTGTGTGTTGCACAGATAAAGAACTTGTTATACTACCCTGTCTCCTGGCGGTTACTCTACTCACAACACAACGCAGAGTCAACCACGTTACACTGGTGCCGTGACCCGGATTCTGTGGCGACATCGAGCAGGGGATTAGCCTGTGGACGCCTCAGAGCTGTGGCCGCGCGGGAGCTACATCCAGGATTCAGCGGGTCTTACCGCCGCTGTCTGCCCGCCTCCCACGCTTCAACTCGGGGCCGCTCGTGCGCCTCTCTCCTGCACACATCGGGGCCGCGCGTGGACTGGTGCGCGCGCCCGCGGAGCTCCACTCGGACCCGTTGCGACTTGGAGGAGGTGGTAGTGATCTGTACCGGTGTTGGATGCCCTCGAGTTTTGCCATTGATGAGGTTGAATGGTGTTTACATTACTGCTGAATGACTTTGTTTTACATATAAACGCGTTTTGAGGCGTTTTTGGTACGTGTTTTGTTTGATGAGTTATTTTTTTTCTACACTCAAAAATCTGAGTGTAGTTTTCAGAACTATTTAAATTTTGCCTCACGTTTTTTGGGTGTGCAGTTTTTCTGTTGAGTTATGGAGAGTACACCTATTGGAAGAGGGAGGGGGCTTCCACTCTTCACTCCTGTGTCTTTATCTGGTTTGGGCAGGGGCGCACTTTTGTTTTCCCCAGAAGCATTCACACCAGAGCCGGGCTATAGTTTGACACAACCTGGTGATAATTCTTTTGTGAATCAGAACTGTAATGTTTACTCTGATGCAAAAGGAAATGAAGGTGTGAATGAGAAAACACTGACCGATATGGCTTCACATATTGGGCTGTCAATTGGGGAGAGTATTGCATCTTGCATTGAGTCACGCCTATGTACTGCATCTGGTGCAGTGGGGGCATCTGTAATTGACCCGTCCCTATTGAATGTCATTGTGCGCCAGGACGTTAAAGAACCTGTGAGTTTTAAAGGGGATGGTAGTGACATGTGTTCTGTTCAGGAGTGGGAGGTTATGATGCTGTCATATATGAGGAAAAGGGGAATTCCTGTGTCCGATCAAGCTGATGAGGTGCTGTCAAAGCTCACGGGGAGGGCGCGGGATGTAGTCAGAGTGGGCATACGTAGTAAGCGAGTATTGACCCTGACTGACGGCCCGGAGCCTGTTTTTGAGATGTTAAAACAGCACTTCAGTGACACACTAACCTCTTGTTTACCATTAGCTGACTTTTATGCGACAAAACCCCACTCTGGTGAACAACCCATTGACTACTGGTTGAGGCTGAACAGAGCCCTGGAGGTGACTGAGGACTCTTTGAGAAGGCAAAATAAGACATTTAACTATCTGTCACGTGATTTAGCAGCCATGTTCATTCATAACTGTCCCGATAATGAACTGTCACTCATTTTCAAGTGCAGGCCACTGCAAGAATGGACTGCAGCGGATATTCATGATAAGTTGGTTGAGCACTGTCGAGACCATAGACAGGCACCTATGCAGAAAATAAACACCATCTTGTGTTCGCAGCACCAGGAAGTTGCTGCTCCTGTCCAGAGTTCTGCTGATGCAAAGCCGCCACAAGCTGCTGTTGTGGTTCCGCCTTCTGCGCAGCGGGCAGAGTGTTCACCTGACCGTCTGGACAGAGTGCTTGCCCTCCTCGAACGTGTACTTTCTCAGCAGTCGCAGCAGCCTAAATATGTCAGTAAGTTCAATGCACGCAGCCTGCCCTCCAAGGTCAAACCTCTGACGCCCTGTGCTGTGTGTGGAGATGATGGCCACACTACTCAGTACCACTGCAGGTCCGACCGTCTGTGCTTCTCCTGTTTTGCACCTGACCACACGCGCGCTGATTGCCCAAATGCTGTCAGTAAGCCTGGGGTTGTTAAGTCTACGGCGCAGCAGCAGGGAAACTAGCTGGCCTGCATGTGGGAGGGGCAAGTGTTGGGCCTAAAAATGATTCCCCTATTGTTAATGAGAGTGATGAAGAGGAGTTTATCTATCGAAGTGTTTGCAGAGTAAGAGAAATGGGACGCACGCCTATAGTTCAAAACGTTCAGAGGCTTCAGCAGCATGATGATCTGTTCTATGAGATAGTGACACTGAGCGGAAGAGTAAAAGTCTCTGCTTTACTGGACAGCGGTTCGATGGCATGTACTCTAAGTGCTAGTCTTGTCCCACAGTTACTGCAGGAGGGTGTTATAAACCCCACCTTTCAGGATACGGACGTTGTGTTGATTGGATGCGGAGGGTCTAGAACTCTGCCTGTGGGAGTGTGCGATCTCAACCTGGAGATGTATGGCTGCCGCGTGGTTGTCCCCACCCTAGTTGTCAATGGCCAGAGCGAAGATCTAATTGTTGGCAGTAACCTATTGCGGTATGTGATCAGCAGACTTAAAAGGGATTTCCAGGGTCAGTGCCCTTCAGTGCTCAGCTGCAGGAGTGATGCAGAACAGAAACTGTTGAGTTTAATGGCGGGAGTGGAAACTGAGGATGTCTCAAATGCGATCGGTACTGTCAAACTCAGGAAAGCTGTTACTCTGGAGCCTATGACAGAGCACCTAGTGTGGGCAAAGCTGCAGTACGTGGACGAACAGTTGGCTGGTAGTGAGGTTATTGTCGAGCCGACAGTCGCTAAGTCCAGACCAAGAACAGTCATAGTTGGAAGAGCTGTTTCACTTTTGAGAGCTGATGGCTGGCTGCCTCTCAAAGTGATAAACCCATCTCACAAGTCTGTCACTCTCAAACGTAAGACTAAGATGGCTGACGTCTTCTTGTGTGAGGCAGTCGAGAAATTTGGTGCTCAGTCTGTTCGGCACAATGTACAAATTACCAGTGATAGATCAACTGTACTCAGTCTTGTTTCAGATACCTCCACTTTACCGGACTGTCCTCGATTCAAGCCGTGCCCTGACTCTAGTTCTCTCCAGTCTAGGTTAGGTGAGCTGGGTTTGTCGGATATTGATGTTGAGTCGTGTCAAGTTTCCGCCGATTACAAAACTAAGCTTGCTGAGCTCATAGTAGAGTACGAGTCGATTTTCTCCAGAGACAAGCTAGACTGCGGCAAGGCTACTGGTTACCTGCACCGTATCAGGGTCCTAGATGAGAAACCTTTTCGGCTCCCATGCAGGCGCATACCGCCCACGCAGTATGAAAAACTGAGACAGGCATTGGATGAAATGGAGGAGCGGGAGATTATAAGAAAGTCCAGCAGTGAGTTTGCGTCGCCCCTTGTGTTAGTCTCAAAGAAATCAGGAGACTTGAGAATATGCAATGATTTTCGCTGGCTCAATGCACGCACTGTAAAGGATGCACATCCGCTCCCTCACCCGGCTGATGCCCTAGCAGCTCTAGGGGGTAATGCCTTCTTCTCAACTATGGACTTGACCTCAGGATACTACAATGTGGAAGTACATGAGGAGGACAAGAAGTACACAGCTTTTTCATCACCATTCGGATTGTATGAATACAACAGGATGCCGCAGGGCCTTTGTAATAGTCCAGCAACGTTCATGAGGATGATGTTAAGCATTTTTGGTGACCAGAACTTTATGAGTCTTTTATGCTACCTGGATGATGTTTTGGTGTTCGCCTCGAATGAGAATCTGGCTCTCGAACGTTTGCGAATGGTGTTTGATAGACTGCAGTCCCACAACCTTAAACTCGCACCAAAGAAATGCAACTTCCTGCGGCGCTCAGTTAAGTTCCTGGGTCATGTTATCGGTGCCGATGGTATCCAGTCCGACCATGATAAAGTTGCTGCCATAACCTCCTTAAAAGAGTCTGACCTTATGGAAGATGGCACTTCAGTCCCCTCACAGCGTAAAGTCCGCTCCTTTCTTGGTATGGTTGTATACTACCAGCAGTTTATCGAAAATTGTTCAGCCATAGCCAGGCCGCTATTCCAACTCACATCGGGGTCCAAAAGTCCGCGTGGAGCAGGAAGAAAACGCCACCAGACTCGTAAAAAGTTAAGAACTGACGATTGGACTGACGAATGTAAGCTGGCTTTTGACAAACTGAAACAGGCTTTATTGGACCAAGTTGTTCTGGCCCATCCGAACTTTGATGACTCCTTTTTGCTCTCAGTTGACGCCTCTACTGATGGGCTAGGTGCTGTCTTGTCACAAGTTCCGCCTGGGGGCACAATAGCGAGACCAATTGCCTTCGCAAGTAAATCACTCACTTATGCTCAGTCAAAGTATCCTGCGCACAGACTGGAATTTTTTGCATTAAAGTGGGCAGTGTGCGATAAATTCCACCACTGGTTGAGAGGAAATAGATTTACGGTGTGGACGGACAATAATCCATTGACATACATTTTGTCCAAAGCTCGTCTGGATGCATGTGAGCAGCGATGGATTGCTAAACTTGCCCCTTTTCAGTTTGATATAAAATACATCCCAGGTCCCCGAAATGTTGTCGCCGACGCCTTAAGCAGGGAGCCGTTCGTGCAGCCCAGTGCATCTCACCGGTTAACAAGGGTTCCTTATGTTGAGTTGCTCGCTGAGGCTGCTGCCGTCGGTGCTAATGGTGTTCAGGACGCGTTTCGGTGGTCTGCAAACCCACCTGACACGCAATCCGTGTGTGGCCAACGTGTTGTTGTACAATGCGCGGCAGTAGTAAGCTCTTCTAGCTCAATCTCATCTCAGGAGGTTGCGGCTGTTCTTGATGAATTGAAAAGCCGTGGTTCTGACTCGTGCCCACTCGCGTTGCTCCTGCCCCAGTTCACGCAGTCTGTCCTGTTGCCCCCGCAAATTGACTCTGAGGTGCTCTCCCTCAACGAATTGAAGGACAAACAGAGGAATGATGCGGATCTGAGCAGAGTAATTTTCTATGTGGAAAGAGGAAGGAGACCATCAAGGAGGGAGCGTGCAAAGGAAACTACTGGTGCAAACAGATTATTGCGAGACTGGGAGAAACTCACTTTGAGAGAGGGGGTTCTCTACCGTGTGACAAAGGATTCGGCCAATAAAAGAAGAAAGTACCTGTTTGTTGTACCCCGTTCATTATGTCACAAAGTGCTGAGAGGTGTGCATGATGAGGCTGGCCATCAGGGGCAGCAGAGGACTTTATACCTGACAAGGCAGAGGTTTCACTGGCTAGGGCTCTCTCGTGATGTTATGGACTATGTTAGACACTGCAGACGCTGTGTAGTGAGCAAAACCCCAGAGCCTGAAGCCAGAGCGCCTTTAGAAAGTATTAGAACCTACGAACCCCTTGAACTTGTCAGTATTGATTTCTGGACAGCTGAAGATTCTGCTAATAGGTCCCTGGATGTGCTGGTTGCGACTGACCACTTCACTAAAATGGCGCATGCCTTCTTGTGTCCTAACCAGTCAGCCAAAGCAGTCGCCCATCAGCTGTGGAATAACTACTTCAGTGTCTATGGATTTCCGAAACGGTTGCATTCGGACCAGGGAGCTAATTTTGAGAGTGCCCTGATAGCGGAGTTGTTACAGGTTGCAGGTGTGCAGAAATCACACACTACTCCCTATCATCCCATGGGTAACGGCTCGTGTGAAAGGATGAACCGTACTCTTGGGAATATGATACGGGCGCTTCCCTCAAGAGCAAAACATCGTTGGCCTCAAGCTCTAAAATCCCTGACGTTTGCATACAACTGCACTATACACGAGACAACTGGCTATGCGCCATTCCTGCTCATGTTTGGGAGAGTCCCGCGACTTCCAGTGGACGTTATATTTGGCTCAGTGCTCGATGATCCAGAGGTTGTGGACTATGATCGCTATGTTGAGTCGTTGCGGCAAAGCATGAGAGAGGCTATGGCAGTGGCCCAGTCGACAGCAACAAAACAACTTCAACGACACACTGAACTATACAATAAAAAGGTGCGTGGTGCTCCGGTTGAGGTGGAAGATCGTGTGTTGTTGGCCAACAAAGGTGAACGTGGGAAAAGAAAGCTCGCTGATCGTTGGGAAAATACAGTCTATGTGGTGGTGGAGAAAAACGATGAGAGCCACACATTCAAGATTCAAAATCCGATAAGTGGACAGATTAAGGTTGTGCATCGCAATCTGATAATGCCAGTGAATTTTTTGCCCTTGATGGAAACCGAATCAGATGACCCGGACGGGGATGTATTGTCACCCGTGTCGAGCTCAGTGGACCTCAGTAGGTCGGCAGTCACTGAGGAATCCACAAAGTCAGCTGAGTTTCGAACCAGAGCGTGGGTGTCTGGGCTACCATCAGATACTGGCAGTGTGACAAGTGTGGAGGATAGTGTTCTGGAGAACGCTGTTCCATTGGATGAGCCGGAGAGTGATGCTATGGACTCTAGCCTCCCACGAGCCCCTGACCTAGAGACTGCTATGGCCCCTGACTTTGACATGACTGATGTTCCTGCTGCAGCTTCAGCTGAGGCAGTAACTGACCGTAGATCTAGGGCTGGACGTTTACTGAGACCAGTGACTCGTTTTGTTGAGATTATGCACCAAAAGCCTGTTTCAACCCTTTAAGTATTTTTTTCTTGGACTTTAGTGGGTTTCAGTACTTCAAATTTTTTTTTCTTGGGGATTTTGCAACATTGTAATTGTGAGTTTGTTTTGTTTTCACAATTGTGATTTTTGTTTTGTATACTTTGAGGTGTACCTGCAGTTACATTTAACGGAATATGTAGGTGGGCATATTCTATTTACCCTATGTGTGTAGATGGGTTTTGGCCATTCCGGTCTCGCACTGATCCCCTTGGGATGGTTTTTTTTGCTGGGTTTGGTAACTGTGTTGGTGCTGGAAATTACCTCACTGGTACGGTTGGGAAATTGAAGGTTTTGAGTTTCCTGTACGTATAAGTATTGAACACTGTTTTTTTTTGGTGCCTTGTGCAATGCTGGTCTATTTTGTAATTTTTTTTTGTTATGGGACAAGTGGAATTCAGCAGAGGGGTATGTAACAGGTAAAAGTATTGTATTCCACTTGTTATAGACACTGTATTATAGTGGAACAGCGCCCTCTTGGGGTGACAGATCCTTTAAGTCTTGGGGAAAAATGTGCTCGGCGCCATTTTCACTATAAGCAAGCCGAGGTAAGGTCACAAAATTGGTGTGTCTGCTAAAGTTGCATTTGTATGTTTATTTTTCAATTGTATGACTGTGTGGGATGCTTGTAAACTTGAAAATGTCAATGTTTAGTTAAATTTGATTGCAGTTCAGTACATATAGGAATGTTAACCTTTTAAAATGTATACCCCACTAGCTGCTGCTCGTTTGCGGTGTCCCAGGTCCAAGGCTGACCAGCTATTTTGTGTGTTGCACAGGTACATTTATTTTATTGTATATTATATTTGGCCATTTTCACTATAAGCAAGCCGAGCTGCTGCTCGTTTGCGGTGTCCCAGGTCCAAGGCTGACCAGCTATTTTGTGTGTTGCACAGATAAAGAACTTGTTATACTACCCTGTCTCCTGGCGGTTACTCTACTCACAACACAACGCAGAGTCAACCACGTTACAAATACATAGTTCCCACAGACCAATGAATGTCACATGACCTCCTCGGAGACGCCATCTTTGATGGCACGCTGCTGTGTTTGTGCATTCCATTAAACAGAAGAATGAGAATAAATGTAGATATTCAAACGCAAATTGGAAAAAAAAGGGCAACTTTTGAGCAAATAATTGTATATTAATACAATGGCACCACAGTTTAACGTGCTACGGACATGTTTTACATATTTGATCAAATTATGCAGCAAAAATTAACAAGCAATGCAAACATTTCTCAAAAACTTTAGATTTAATACCAGTTGGAGCTCCATTTAATTATTTTAATTATATTAACAATTAATTTAATTAATGCTAATGCCACACGGACACTCTGGATTGCTGTTATTGTTTATTTCCGCGTTTTTGACCGTACGTTTTGGTGAATGGTGGGCAACTGATTTTTCCAGGCGTAAAGAGCAGTTTATTTTATGACACAGATCTTTTTACAGAAGCAATGCTGTTTGTGAACATTGTTTTAGCCCACCATAGAACTATTATTATCTATTTAATACATTTACGTTGCCCTCGAGAGCCTCGGACGCGACACCGATCCTCCCAGAGGCGTCCCGTTGTGCATCTCTTCAAGGAAGTGTATCTCGGCGTTACACCGTGCCAACAGGCAAGGCAGGCAGCTGCCTGGGGCCCCCAAACCGGCAGGGGCCCCCGAGGGCCGACTGATTTGACACAAGCGGTCGACTTGTACAGGCCACAACAGGTACCTGCAGTGACGAGTTGCAATTTGACCGCCCGTCTCAAATCCCCTGATAGGGCCCCGCTCCTCTCGCCCCTCCCCCCACATGTGTCAGTGACAGAGGTGAGGTGAGCGGAGCGTGCAGGCAGCGTGCCATTTCTCCCAAAGCAAAACAAAGTTGTCCGACCAAATGAAGAGAAGTTATCCTTCTGGAAGCAATAAACGAAAGCGCAAAAAAGAGGAAGACAAGAAAAGAAAGCATGATAGCGGTGAGTGACTGTCTAATGACTGTCTTATCTTTAAGCTCAGTCTGCCGCTACACACACTACTACAGCCCCAAGTACTGCCACGCCAAGGTTTACTGCCCCCTCAAGCTCTACAGTCCTGGACAGCAGCGCTTTCTCCAGTGAGCAGCAGTCAGCTATATCCAATACTGCAATTGTCAACATTTCGTCGCCTACCTCCATTGACCAAGAGGACCAAACAGAACCACAAGCACCCACTCCAGGTATGATATTAGTGCAATAATATATTTAGTTTGAAAAAATTCTTGAATTTTACACACTATGGTCTTTTGTAGTATCTACCATATCTATAATTTCAAACAAATATAAGAGGTATACTTGAAAATAAATTAATATCTAAGTTGGTTTGTATTTTGAAGATGTGTAAATTAAAAATACATAAATAGTAATGTAAATATGGACATACTTAGCAAGCCATCTTTAGCAACAATTGTAATTGTAAAGGCTGTAAAAAGGGACTAAACATAGTGTTTGTTCAAGTAATGATATCACATCAGGATTATTTATGGTTATTGTGTTTTTCTTTTGAGAATTCATGTGTTTTTTAAATTTGTTTCAGCTCAAACGGTATCCACAGACCAAGAAAAAGCAACACCAATAAGATTGACATCTTCTGATCCTGGACAGTGGCCTGATGTTCTTAATGATGGTGAAAAGAGTTCCCTGGTGAAAAAAGGTCCTCTTCAGGTGACGGATATTTTTCCTCAAAGCAATGAACAAAATCCTCGGAGATTCACAAAGGAAAATTATTACATGGTCATGAGAAATGGTGAAAAAATAAAGCGAACATGGCTAGTATATTCAAAATCGACCGATTCAGTCTTTTGCTTTGCTTGCAAAATATTTGGCAAAAAGGACAATAATGCTCTAACTAAAGGAGGGCTTAAAAACTGGAAAAACCTTGTTGCACATTTAAAAGAGCATGAATATTCCAAACCCCATATAAATAAGATGAAAAGTTGGCATGAGCTCCAGATAACGTTAAAAACAAAATCTGCTCTAGATCAAGTTCTACAAAGAAGTATTGTCACAGAGTTGAGAACCTATAAGCAAAGCTTATAGGTTCTCAACCTATAAGCTTTATTGTTTAGTTGTTAATTATGTTTTCATAATATTGTTGTTCTGCTGATCTTTGTTGTTGTTAGTATTTTGTCAATTCTGTTTCAACTTTATGATGCAAATAAATAATATATTTATATCTACTGCAGTATTAACCTTTTTATGTGGTTATATGGTCGGTATCGGGGCCCCCAAAGACTCTTTTGCCTGGGGCCCCGGGGTATCCTTGGAACGCCACTGGATCCTCCTCATAATAAAGTAATCTAACGCTAAATAATGAAACTCTCAAGTTTCACTAGATATCAGCATACACAAGTTAGTACTGAGTAAATTACGTCTGTCAACACATTATAAGATACGATACGCACCTGACACAAAGTGCTCCGAGCATATTCTTGCGTGTTTTGAGGGAGTTTCTTGCCTGTTTATCTTCGCAAGCCATAACCTCCGTGGTTGTTCTGACAAAAGCTTAGTCTTCTCACATTCATGAAGTCTAATGATGGGTATACTGTAAAATCCAAGTTTAACGGAACCAGCGGCACGATTTGAACATCCATTGACCCAGCAGGAGATGACCATTTTCAACTTTATCACGACATTAACACGTTTCAGCTTCTTTTTCTATTGTTTTTCCCACAGAATGCCAACACAAATGTCGCCGGGTCGGCAAATCCCCGTATGTAGTGACGCCGTATGTAGGAACTATGTATATTGTTCAAAAGTTTACTCATTCTTGTAAATTAACATTAAATGTGAAACCAGTATTTGATAGGTTCATTACATGTAAAGTAAAATGTGCCAAGCCATTGTTTGTTCTATATTTGATGATTATGGCCTAATCATATTTATGATCATATTTATCAAAATATTCTAGTTTTCTGAGATGTTTGATTTGAACTTTTTACAAGCTGTGAGACAATTATTTATTTATTTGTCCATGCCATATTACTTAAATCATGTATATTCCTAATTATCAACATTATAATAACCACAATCACTTTACATAAACGCCATCAGTTTCACATTTGAATGTAATATTTGTTGCCTGTGTCTTCACCTGCAAACAGAGGATTCTTCAGGCTGAGCTTGGCTGACTGTTTTCTATCTCAGTCTTTTTACTGAGAAAGAGACAAACTTGTGTTTTCTTCACAAAGGCAAACGCAAAACAAAAAACTCCAAACGCCGCAGACAGCTGTAAAGAAAACCCAGGTTTGTCTCGTTCCTCAGGCTGAACAGTGGGTGAAGACTGCCCCCTGTGGCCATGTTGCATACTACAAACATTGACCTAAAGCTTGAACTGTCAAACCATGAAAAAGGGAAATAGCATATAGTAAAAGCTATTCAAACGAGATCCCAACTCTCAAATCCTGGTTCTGTCACTAGTTTCAAAATGATTGTAACTTTGGCTTTTGTCACATCTTTGAAACAGCTTTTTCACACAGAAAAGTGAAGAAAAAAAAAGAGGACTGCCCTCACCCAGCCAATCAGGTCTCAGCTCAAGGGCTATTAAAGTATGCACAATATTATTTCGACAACAGCAGAATATTATGATCTAGTTAGTTTCCAACATTTAATTTTTCTCTTACCCAACATGTGTTTTGAGAAATGTTGAATGCTGTTGATTTGGAGCTTATCAAAAACATGTTTAATGTATTTACTATTATGAAACATTTGACAACAACAAAACCACAAGTCAAATTCAAAGTCATTTATTTCACATTGATTTGAATGAAAGAGAAATGTGTCAGAGATGCTCCTGCAGCCACAGAACAGTGTTGACGAAGCAGTCAGTTTGACTGTCCACCCGGGACAGAGAGTGGCCGTCTTCAGGGAACCACAGCAGCCTGAGCACAAAAAAAGTTCTTAATTTATCATTTTCAAAGTGTACGGTACAATACATTTGATCCATCTAAAAGCATGAATGAGAAAGCTACATTTCAAAGTAGTAGAATCCAGAGAGCTGTTACCTGACCGTCCTCCCACGGCTCTTCAGAGCTCTGTACAGCTCCAGGCCCTGGTGCGGAGACACTCTGCGATCTCTGCCCCCGAGCATCAACAACAGGGCACTCCTCATCTGCACATTTCAGCCACATGTCACCACACACACCAGGACAACATAATGTGCTCGCCGGGGTGAGAAAACTTTCAATATTTTGATGAGTATTTTCACTTCTTTACATCTCTTTTCACAAGCCTTGTCTGTATGCGTGCGTGTGTGCGTGTGCGTGCGTGCGTGTGTGCGTGTGCGTGTGCACATATTTACCACCTAGGGTTTACCACTATTGTTACATAGTGCTTGTGAATGTGACTTGATCTATAAACTACAATCCATCCATCCATCCATCCATTTTCTTCCCCTTAATCCATTTCTGGTATGGAGGGTGGCAGTCAGAGCTGCACCCAGTCCACATAGCAGCCCCTCACTGATCCTCCTGCAGGAGGTGAGTCCACAAGAGCCTTGAACTTCCAGCGGGGGCTTCAGGCAAAGTGTCTTGCCCAAGGACACAACGACAGCAGTCATCAGTGGGAGTCGTGAAGTAGATCTCGTGGTGGGCTCGAACACACAACCTTCAGGCCCAAAGGCCAGTGCTCTACCAACTGAACCACTGTCGCCTCCAACTACTATTCGTTTGTGACAAAATTGGAGTGAAAGCATAACCATAACCTATGGATCTATTATATTGCTATGTGCAAGGTACTTACAATTTTAAGCACATAAACAAAGTATTTTGATTACATTTTGCTATGGGTAAACCCTCTTGCTTCTAACCTTTGGCGCGTGTGTGATGGGAGACCTCTCCAACATGGCGGCCAGAGCTTCAGCCGTTGGTATTTTCTCATAGGAGAAATCCAGACCGACGCTGCTGTATCTCCTTGAGAGACAAAACAGTTGAACACATAATATCCAGTCCATTGGTCCAAAAACCAGTCGTAATTACCAGTCAATGATGTCGCTGGTGCCCAGGAGAGTGGCAGCATTCACCACAGGGTTTCTCACTGCGCATGCTCTGTACATATCTGGGAACTGGCCAATCAGGTGACAGGACAGAAACCCGCCGTGTGACCCCCCACACACCGCCATCCGCTCAGGGTCCAGAGACGTGTCGGACTGGAGCGCACACTGAACGGCCCTCTGTGTGTGGAACAAAGTATGAGTTACAGTATTCCAGCTGTGACAGTTGCCGTTTTCTTCTATCATAACAGACCTGGACATCTTGGACGTCTTGTTGACCTATTTGTCCAATCAGAGATAAGATGCTGTCCTGACCGAACCCAGTGGACCCTCTGTAGTTCACTGCAAAATATGTTCATCATTAAAGCTGGGATACCAAACTTTCTTTATTTTTTTTTATAATACATGTTCGTTATTGTTGTTTTTTTATATTTTAGTTTGTTTTGTTTCTGTATTTTTCACCTTGTTTTATTCATGTACTTGTCTTATTTACACTGGGGACTTTTGAAAATGTATTCCAATGGGGACTTACTGTAAATGACAATATATATATATATATATTCAATATAATGAATCTGAATCAGACTAACACAACAGATGTAGTTTTCCTTCCATTAGAACACATTGTATCCATATCTATGAGTCACTCTTTGATGCACTGGGCTGAAAGCTGATTGGCTGAGTGAGGGTCTTCTCTTTTCCCTTTTCTGTCTGAAGAAAGCTTTTCTAAAGATGTGAAAAAAATATATTTAAAAAAATACATATAAAAATACTTTAAGGAACTGTTCAATGGCAGTCTGGAATGGTGTTCCCTTTAAGTCTAAACACATATATACAGTATATATATGTGTTTATCAATTAATTATATACAGAATATTTCAAAAAGACTTAAACAATTATTTAGCTTTACCCATTAAGACAGCCAGTCCTAACTGGACCAAACCAGCTGTGGTAATGTTCCACTCAGCGGGGAACTGAGAGTGAGGACCTCCTGAAGGAAACATCAATAACAAATGTAAGTCATTTTCACGTTAATTATTGAAGAAGCAGCATTTACACACGTGTAATTACCGTGAATGAAGACGACGAGAGGCAGTTTGGTTGTGAAACTGGACGGTTTCACCAAAATGGCACCAAAATCAAGGCTGGCTATAACGACACACAACAGAACTAAGACACATTTCTCTGGAAAGATGAGTTGGTGAATAATAATTATCTAACTGTATTTAGCATTGTCCTCTTCAGGTGAAGGCCGGACGTCCATCACTGTCCAGGAGAAGTCAAACGTGCTCAGAGGAGACTGCAGAGTTTTCCATGACACATTCTGTCCACTGGGGGGCAGGAGTCCTACTCTCTGTCAATGAGCATCAGGGCAGTGGAATTTAGTTTAAAAATATATTCAGTACTTTCTGGACTATTAAACAAATCTGTATATAAGCCACACTATCAACATTTTAAATTCAAGTACATTTTACCACATATTGGCCACACTTGAATAAATGCTACAGCTATAATGTTAGATGGCAATTTTGCGTGTGTGTACGTGTGTGTACGTGTGTGTGCGCATGCGTATTTACCAGTGTGGGTGGAGTGTTGGGGCTGGAGCAGCAGACCACCATCAGGTCTCTGTGAACGGTCAGGAGCCTCCAGGAGCCAAACACCCTCTGAGCGTCTGAGGAGACACACAACAAAGAGATTTAACAGGAAGCAGGAATACAACTTATAGCAAACAAATACATTTGGTTCATTTTTTGTTGTTGGAAAAAATAAATAAACAGGCCAACCAGAATTTTAATCAATAAGAATCATTAATGTTCCTTATTCTACTCTGATTTATTATTTACTTTACTGTATACTTTTATATCCTTCTAAAACATAGAAACACATAAATAATGTCAACCATATTTTCTTGTGATCTCTAGTGGCACGTACATGCTGATGTGAACGGTACCAAACTCACCCTAAGCATCACCTGAATGTTGCCATTAAAGCACGGTCTAAACATGATTTCACAAAATAACTGCAGTGAGGTCAACAATGGAGCAGTGATGAAGTTTCTACTCAAAATCAAATGTTTAAAGCTTCTACGTTGCTTGTTATTATCATACGTCAAAGAATTCCTATATTTAAACAGCGGATCGGACTGAACCAACTAGACATGAGGTATGGATAACCTCAGCTGTTGTACCTTTATGTTCTGGATCCTGTTCGTGCCTATGATGAGGAGGAGGATGAGGAAGAGGAGGAGGAGGAGATTCAGATAAAGCAGAAACTGTCAGAAGATGAGGAGGAGAGAGCGGAGACAGAGGAAGAGGAGAGGGAGGAGAAGGAAAGAAGGAGCTCGGAGGGAAGGGTAAGGAGTCAGGAGACGGAGGAGGAGGGAAGGAGGCGAGGCTGAGGGAGGAGGAGAGAGGAGCTAAGGGCTTACTAGACACACAGGACACACTCCGGGTTCGCCTGTCCACCACAAATATGTCCTGGACAGAGGAAAGAATACACACAGTTAAAAACATTCACACCAGCACCTGCTTTAGATGGAATTTGATTATTTAAATGGAGGACAGTGCAATTCAAACCCTCTGGGGTCTAGAGCATCGGATCTGACGCCTGCGCACATGTTTTATAAATGTTCAATTTTCTCATGAACGGCAAAACGTAGCGACTTACTTTTTTTTTCTCCGTGAAGTACACATTTCAGGCATTACAGCGCTAGTTTTGTTTTGTCTGTGTGTCTGTGTCTTTTGGGGGATTTTCTACGTGTGTTTGAAAGTCGGTGTCCAATCGGATCTTCGAGCGGTCTCCCGTGAGGTAAAACAGCCAAAACAGTAAAGTTATTTTGCTTACACGCTGACACAGGGACTGCCAAAGATTGTCAGAGAGTAGGATGATCCACTCTCCTGTGTGTATTTATTGTCCCATAGTTGAAATTACAGCTGCGATTGCAATTACTGATGCGTAAAAGACGCATTATTTTAGCGGAATGTTACGAAAATGCGTCCCCGACACAGCTAATGTAGCTTTTGATCACTGATCTACGTGATCTACGAAGTGATGTGTGTGTTCAGAGTCTGGGCTTGAAAGTGCATTACACAAAGATAGGAGGAGACGCAGATGCAGCGCTCACAAGAGCCAGCACCTGGCTGAAGAGTGCGCATTATTGATGTAATTATATTATATATTTATTATTGACATCGATAAATACATTATAATGATATGATGTATATGAATATAAGATGTTGTTTTTCTTTCTTTGTTTTCTTAGTTTTTTTGTTTTACATATCTTACAGCTGTGATACTGAAGCAATATATAGACATAAACAAACTGCTTCAGGAAGGGCATCAGGAGTACAGCGTTTTTTTCACTTGTAGTGGAATTTTGTAAAAATTATAATAGTCACAGGTTCAATTTTTTTTCCCCATCAACCCCAAGACCCTAAATAACATTTCTATACAGTGTAAAAAGTTAGCAATAGCATTTCATTGTGTTTTTCAGAACATTTTGGTGAAATTGAATTTCCGTTTCATTTTTTTCTTTGTCTTCATGATTCCATATTTTTTATATAATTCATATGACAGCTGTACACTATGAATATTATAAATCCACAGGTTGTACTGAAAAAAAACAAAGTTTACTGCTTGACTCTGCATCACAAGATGACTGTTTTATGAGCAATTATACACAAAGAAAACCAGACGAGGAAAGTTCCCCAAAATGAGCTTAGACCTTGAAGGGTTAAAACACATAAGACAGAATTATTGTTATTATTTATTCTCAATTATTGTATTGAGATTTATCCTGGCCGTGAAGTTTCAAAGGCTATTACATACATAACAATGCATTATCAAGACAAAAAGACATTAAACATCAAAGAATCAACATAATACGATAGAGATGAGATGCATTATGTTCAGGTTATGATAACAATTTTAAGACATATCTTACCATTTCCCCTTCTCCTCCTTTTCTAATGACTATTTCCAAATCTGTAAAAACCACTCCTACATGATCTAAATCCATTTGGGAACATTTGGGGATGGATGAGAAGTTTGGTAAGAACCATGGAGCAACATTCTCACAATCTGAACATTGTAAAGTGCTTTGGGTGACCTTGGTCTGTAAAATGCGCTATACAAATAAAATCACACTATTCTTTAACAAAGACAAGAACAGTGCAGCTACACATTTTAAAAAACTATTTAATGTTGATGGGGGTTTTTCTAGGCTTTCTTTTATCAGCCAATTTCAGTTTAATAGGTGTTTTTGATAAGATGTAGCTCAGGATTGTGTATGTGTGTGTATGTGTGTGTGTGTGTGTGATATGATAGTGTCATGTTTGACTCTGTACCTTCCAGTTCTTGTGAGCGCTGCTGAAGACCACTCTCTGACTGTCCTCAGACCAACAGCTCGACGGCAGCGACTCGTAAACTCCAGAAAATCCCCCTACAACGTATTCAGCAAGGCTCTTAATGTATGTACTATTTTGGATACATTTCATTTGAGTTTTTACATTGACAATAAGGGTGTATACAAGAAGCCTGGAGTAAAATACTTCTATAGTTTTTAAAATATGTAAAATGCAGTTGTTATTCTGTATTATTATGTTTGACACTTGTTTACGTACAGTTTACACAACGACCAATTTACCTGATCGTGGTATCACTGGACCACGTTTTAAATGCACAAATGTCTCACTTCAGTAACATGACCCTTTTTTCCCACTGGGTTTTGTGAGTCGTTCCAGTCTGTGGTTGTTCCTTGCTGATGCAGGAAAAGGACATTTATGGACATTTATTATCATATAAGGAGATTGTTCACCCGACTCACTATGAACCAATGGCTTCTATGTGTTTGTTTGTATTGCATTTCTGTGTTTGAACTGTGTGATTCTCTGATCTGTGTTGGGGAAACTACCATTTTGTTAAGTCCTCTGAGACGACTACGGTTGTGATTTAGGGCTATACCAAATTAAATTGAATTGAATTGACTACAAATATCAATACCAATAACATTTGATGACAACACTATTACTTTTTAAGGGCTGTATCGTTAATTAATTGAACTGGTCAACTTTGAATACTTTAGAACACATTTCTATCAAACTAAAATGTAAATGAAAACATATGGAACAGACCAGTGTCTCCTCCATCCTGTGCTCTGTGGACGACATCGATGAGGGTGGAGATGGATTTACTTTTTAAATCGAGCTGAAACCAAATCACAATTCAATTCCACATAAACAAAATGCATGATAGTAATAATCAGCTTTACCATCTGCAGCTTGAGGCACTGGGCGTGAGGACCAAACACTTTCCCCTGAAGGAAAACTAAAGCAGATCCATCAGGACTGAGACGAGGACTCAACACGGACACGTTCTCCTCCGACAGACGCTCTGAAGGCAACAGAGAGCAAGAGGTCAGGACTGAAGTCAAAGAAGATTCCAGATTACTTTATTGTATTTACGCTACATAATAAAATGCACAATAATAATAGTCACAAAGAACCATTCATTCACTTACAGGTAGAGCACAGAATGTATCATGATAGGATCATTTGACCAGGAGTCTCATTTATAACACATTTCTCTGAGTTTCTTTTTGAATACAAGTTACACTTTTTTAAAATGGCAATGTTTTTTATATTATGTATATTATATCAGCAGATTACTATAATAATAACTTTAATCATTTCTGAGGGCTCAAACATTCAAAGCGCTCAAGTTTCTTTCTCTATAGATTACTTTATTGTACAAATACTTTATAAATAAGGTTTACACCGACAATTACACTAACTAAACAAATAAGTACTACATACAAACAGAGTTACTTAAAGATTCACATTTTCCCTCAATAATGACAATAATGCTGCACTCATGTCCAGCTAAAGTGATTGTATAAATTGATTCTCACCACAGTTTCCTTCCAAATCGATCCGCAACAATGCAGACCTGCACATTTCAAAACATAGATTACACAAAGGTGCATTTATTTGGTTCACATTAAATCCTTGCTGTTACCTGCGGTTGGTGCAGAACTTGAGTCCCAGTCTGAAGGGCTCATGATACCAGCCAACAAAGAAAATACTCTCCCCGTCCAGAGACCACACGGCCTACACAAGTACAGACAAGTGGTCAATACAAGTTCCAAAATAGTCTCATATTGTACTTGTGCTGCTAACTACGTAAAATGGATCAGCTCTTGGTCATTTCAAAGTGCATTAAAGTCACTTTAATTAAGCCCTGCCCAGTATGTAACGGTCATACAGACAAATGTCCGGGCCTATGATGTATGACCCAGACATGATAATAATAATAACACATTTTATGCGCCTTTCTTGAACTCGGGAGCAGACCTGTCCTGGTGAGACGTCCGCTGGAACTCCAGAGGGCACAGACAGACAGCCACTCCTCAGATCCACACAGCACAGAACCGGAACACTTCTATGGGACAGCGCCTCGCCCCAGTCCTCCTGGTACACACTGCGGTCCTGCCACCAAAGCACTAACAGTTAAGTCTTTATTTGCATATAACATGTCATGAAAACATGTCATATTTTTGTATACTGTGAGACATTATTTGAGGTGTTGGGCAGAAAGATGATTGGCTGAGTGACAGTGGTCCTGACTTTTCACTTTTCAGTCTTGAAAATCTGATCTGAAGATGTGGCAGGGGCAGGGCTGGACTGGCCATCGGGCGTACCGGGCAATGCCAGAAGGGCCGATGCCCATATTTGGGCCGGTCTGTTTGCCTCATACAAAAAAGATGTTTGTGAAAAGTGTAAATCCGTTGAGAACTGTTCGAGGGAGTGCGCGTGTCCGCGGGGCACCTGCTGTATGTACTTGAATGGGATTCCACCACCTCAGCGGCCGCAGTGTTCCCGCATCCAGCGGCTCTGAGCTGGACGCGGGAACCGCTCACAACACAACACGGTGAGCGCGTAGCCGCAACGTGACCATATACCCAAGACCATAAACGCGCACAGGACCATGCGTGTCTTTGCGTAATTTGTGCACCCAATAAATACACCGCTGCAGGAAACAGTCCGCGTCTCCCCTCTCCTCTCGAAGTGCGACTAAATTAAAGCTCGGGTGCCTAAATTTTCCATTGCATTAAAAGTTCATGTTTGAGCCCAAAAGTAAAATGTTGTGAAAAAATTAAACAGATTTAGAGCCAGCCAATGGCTGACATTATGCATTTCAGACTTTTTTGACCAATTCTCATCCCTGTAACAAACAATAGTATTGTCTGTGCCCACCTCCCTCACTCTGAGACATGTTTATTACTCTCTTGTAATGTAGACTATTGCACTTTATTTTTTTGTTGAAACTGCAGACATCCTGATCCTCTACAGTATGCTTCCATACTGTATAAACCAGGGGTCGGCAACCTTTAGTGCTCCTCCAGTGGCTCCTGGAGCCTTTTCAAAAATGTCTGAAAATGGAGTGGGAGGGCTATATTTTATTCCTAGTTTGAATATGGTTTCTGTAGGAGGAAAAAGATTCCTAACGTATTTCAATGCTGTAAAAATGTGTATAAGTAATATTCAATTTCAACATGTCTGTCAACGTAGTGAGTCATATCCTGTGGCGTAGCCCCGCGCCAGGCGGCTGCTGCTGTAAACAAACCGGCGTGTGCGCACGGATCCCAAAGATAAAAAGAGAACGAGTTGATAATAAGACTGGACTAAGAACAAGACTGAACATTTGCGTTCAGTCAATGAGGAAAGACTGCTTCATGTTTGCGATGTAATAGGAAGTTTTGTTGCAACACGAGGAACAATGAAGCACTAAATACCGTTCACAGGAATTACATGAAGGATTCTTTCATACAAAATCCGGAGCACCTTTTTCAGACTTCAAAAACCTCCGCAAAGACTGTGAAAGAAAAGGCCATTAAGGACATTCAGCTCCAGCAAACTTCAGCCTGTGACGTAATCGATATGAGCGGACAGTGCAGGTGTGTGACCTTTGAGCCAAAAAGCAGATTTATTTACTGTATTTCTACAGTTGCATGAAGGCAAAAAAATGGAAGTCAAAGTTAAAGCAGAGTCATCACGTGGTGCGTCATTCTCTCCAGGACACGCTGCAGTGAAAACACACATTTGATAATCATGAATGCTTATTATGTATTTGTAGCCTTTACTTGGTCATTTAGATAATAGGCCAATGTAGCTAATGTAGCTACATTGTGTAACCTTCATATAAGCTTTATACAAGGCTGTTATTTTTTTGCGGCTCCAGACAGATGTTTTTATTTTTTTTTGTCAAATTGGCTCTTTGAACCTTTTGAGTTGCCGATCCCTGGTATAAACAAACTGTAAAAAACGTGACAAAAACATGCCTGGGCCGGTAAGAAGGAAAAAATGCCCGGGCCGTTTTTTTGTCCCAGTCCAGCCCTGGGCAGGGGTGAAAACTATGTGAAAACTTGTGTTAGAACCAAAGGGTTTTGAGAGCAGGGAACAAGAGAGATGGATTTGATTACTTGGTTTCTTTGTTTTCAGTTAGGTACCCCAGCTTTAATCATACAATCCACAAATCATGGTGCTTGGCTTCTTACCTTCACATTCCCAGATGAGGTGTTGGGCGATTCGTTTTTTTTCTCAGCAATGTACAACAATTTGTTCTCACATCGCGACCAAGACAGACAGCTAAAGTGGGCTGAAAAAAAAAAATACTGTTATCCTAAATACTAACCATAACAAAAGCATAAAAGCATAAAATCCCCATATAAAATCTAAATTCACCATCATCATAGACTCGTCCGTGTTTGTTGAGGGCGGTGAGGTTTAGGCACTTCCTTAGGCCATGCTCGTCCCAAACCTAAGACCAAACAAAGGAGGTTCCCTTATTTAACTTTTTGTTTAAAAAAAAAAAAAAAAAAAAACAGCCTCTCTAATACAAACAATTTAGTTACAGAAATGTATAAATGTCAAAAGCTTGATAGACGCGCATGTCTGAACACACATGCAACAATAATCTTAGCAACAGTAATTCTGAATACAGAATCAAAATAGCCAGCTAGGGAATGACAAATTAGCACAGCGGTACATACCAAGTAGTTGAATGCCCCGTGTGTCAGGGCTGCTCCTCCAGCAGCCCCTCCCTCCCCTGATACTCCAGGAGTCTCTGCCTCAACCCCCTCCCCTACCTGTTCCCTGAGTAGGGACAGGTGTGTTGGAGCTGCCTCGGACTCTGCCCAGCTGCCTCCACTCTTCAATCAAGTGGATACAAGTACCTCTGAAGCCAGCTCCTCAGTGCCAGATCGTAATCTCAGTAACATTCTCCGCTCTGCCATGCCCGACCCCAGTCCTGATCCTGTTCTGGTTTCCTCCCGTGCCTTGTGATTTGTGTTTTTTTTGTTTTTTTGCTCAAGTAAAGATTTGTGTTACACCGCCCTGGTCTGCATCTGGGTTCTTTGAAATATACAGCCGCGGTGTAACGTGGTGGCAATCTCACCCAGTGTGAATCTACAAAGAGGTAGGTTTTATATTTGTCTCATCCTTCGATTGGTCCGGTCAACCATGTATGGAGACTTAATTTTAAAACGTTAAATTTATGTACACTGAATACTTTTTTGTTGTAGTTTATATCATTCAAAAGAAAAAAAAAGTGTTGCTAATGGAGGGATAGCGACTGTATTTAAATCCTGTTTTCAATCTCGGAAACTTTGAGCTGCAGTTGTTTGAAATACAGTTGCCATCACCAGTTTCATGCGCGCTCATTTACCGCCCTCCTAAGTTTAATAAAAACTTTATTTAAGACTTTTCCAACCTATTGGCGGAGATTGTGCCTCATACAGATAGACTTCTAATCGTGGGAGATTTTAATATCCACATATGCTGTGTTTCCAAATCTCTGGTCACTGACTTTCTAAATGTGATTGATGGTTTTAATCTTACGCAGTGGGTGCGTGGACCTACGCATGATAAGGGACATACGCTGGATCTTATGTCATTTGACCTGTGCATTGAAGAAATATGTGATATAGGCATCTCTGGCCACATGCCTATTTTGTTCAGCCTGTCTTTGCCTTCTCAGGCCCCGTCTACACGTAGCAGGGTATATCACAAACCGAAGATATTTTCCTACGATCTGGCCTATCATCCACACAAACCCGGAGTTTTCTGTCGATAAAAACGAAGGTTTCTGAAAACTCCGGCCAAAGTGAAGATTTGGGAATTCTCCGGTTATGCGTTTGAGTGTGGACATAAATAACCGGAGTATTCGGCTGTACGTCACTACCAGCGTGCTGCTCTGACGTCACACGCGCGACCTGTGTTTACATCAGAAACAACATGGAGGCCATCAAAACCGCTTTTGTTTTAACGATTGTTCAGGCACTTTTTGCTTGCTTGTTTGCCTGGCGATATTTGCTCCTGATGGCCTTTATTTTTGTTGTCAGGATAGCCCGAGTTAGCTCTCCGTTTCCATGGGGAAAGTCATTGGAGGTCTCCGCGGGATAATGCTCCAAATATAGAGTCAATAAGTCCACATACTTGTTTTGGCAAGATTCCCAATCAATGTTTTCTTGTGTCTTGTTGACCTTGTACTCTAAAAGTACGTTTAGGAGCAATTCTGCCTCCTTGTCAGTCCACACGAACGAGCCTGGCGCCATGTTTCATGTTTTGCGGAAGTGACGTCAAGGACGGAGACTAGCTGTAATTGGATAGAATTTGGGGAACTACTGCCGCCTGTAGGTTTGAAATGTAATTGACAACGCATGTATGCGGTTAGGTGTGGATGCCGTTTTTTTAAAAACCGAGGCTGTGTGGACAGAAGTTTTTTTTTAGGCGGAGGGCGGATTTATAAATGCCCTGCTACGTGTAGACAGGGCCTCAGCCTAAACGTGCCCGTCTTGCACAAACTAAGCGCGCCCTTAGCTCCACTACGGCAGCACAATTCTCGGAGGCTTTTAAAGCATGTAAGCCTTTTATTTTGAGCGATCCAAGCACAGACGCTGATGAACTCACTAACATTTTTAATCTAAAATGCACAGACATACTGGATACTATTGCCCCTTTTAAGTGTTTCCGGGAAAAGCCTATGACCGAACCGTGGCTCAATGACACTACCCGTGCGTTAAGACGCGACTGTAGGTGTGCCGAAAGGAGATGGAAAAAAGACAAACTTCACGTGTCTCTGGGATTTCTTAGAGACTGCTTAGCGAAGTATCAAAGTGCTGTTAAAGATGCTAAAGCCCAATATATGTCCAGCATTGTTTCCAACAACAGCCATAGACCCCAGGTCTTATTAAATGTTTTAAATCATATTGTCAATCCTTCTGATTCTCCTGCTAATGTGTTTTCTGATGAACTGTGAAAACTTTCTTTCATTTTTTGTTGTAAAATTGGCTGATATTAGAGCGTCAACTATATCTTGCTTAAACGCAGATCCATCTTCATCCCATTTGTGTATTGCAAACCTTTATGAATTTGAGCCAGTTTCACTCAATGAATTGAGCACTATAATGCATCGTCTGAAACCCTCTGAGTGTCCACTAGATCAGTGGTTCCCAAAGTGGGGGTCCTGACCCCCCGGGGGGTCGCGGGAACCCCTGGGGGGGTCGCAAGATGATTTCCACACACACAAAAAAAGATTTTTTTTGCTCAAAAAAAAAAGACGTTTTTTTTTTTATATAAAAAAGGGCTTTAAACGCTTTCTAGAGACTCACGCCACTACCGAGCTGCACTGTCCAGCCCAAAAAAGGAGGCTTGCATATTTTTACTCATGTAGTGACACAGTGATGGGCTTGGTGGGCTCCCTCCTCAGCAGAAGTCAGAAGTGGAGCGCATTTCTTGCGGCTCGCCCTCTCTGTTCTTGTACCGCGGTAAAGTGGGCCGGCTTTCCGGAGTCAGCGGTAAAGAGGTCCGCACATTAAAAGCGGGCGGCCGCTTTCTGCTGTTACTTTATGCGGTTCATCCCCACGGCTTCTCTTTCCAAAGTTACTGTCAGTAAAGGAATAAACCGGCCACCCGCTTTTAATGTGCGGACCTCTTTACCTTTGACTCCGAAAAGCCGGGCCTCTTTAACGCGCTGTTCTACCGCTGTCCTCCCTCCCTCCGCTGCCCTCTCTCCCTCCGCTGTCCTCCCTCCCTCTCTTCGCACCATCAGCCTGACCCCTGATACAAGTGACTTTTCTCCCCCTCCGGGTTTTTCTGTTGTGGATATTAACCACGTTTCATTTTAAAGCAGGTATTATTTATTTGTAGCCTCCAAACACCTTTAGTTTTAGCAAACAACAGCAGGACATGCTTTGTCGCTGCGCATGATGTGAGCTGTGTTACGTGATGATTTTGATTGACGCTGCAATGACTGGGACAAAATTACTAACGTTATTAAAATATATTATAGTCATATTATAGTCAAACACAATTTAACAAGTAGTCCTTTTGAATCAAATCAAATGCTAAATAAATATTTAAGGGCTTTATATTTTAAAGCCCTTTTTTATATAAAAAAAAAAACTCTTTTTTTTTTGAGCAAAAAAAATCTTTTTTTTGTGTGTGTGGAAATCATCTTGCGACCCCCCCAGGGGTTCCCGCGACCCCCCGGGGGGTCGGGACCCCCACTTTGGGAACCACTGCACTAGATGGCATTCGTCCCAAACTTCTCAAGTCTGTATTGGATGTCATTGGTCCATATTTGCTGAAGGTTTTAAATGCTTCTTTGTCATCTGGTTGTGTCCCTGCTGCTTTTAAACACGCTGTTGTTCAGCCTCTTCTCAAGAAGCATAATCTTGACCAAAAAACCTTGTCCAAGCTGCCTTTCATGTCCAAAATTCTTGAAAAGTTTGTATGTCCAACTTCAGACATACCTTGAAGTAAACGGAAGCTTTGAACATTTTCAATCTGGCTTCAAACCCCACACAGCACGGAGCGCAGTCCTCTTGAGAGTTTTTAATGACCTACTTTTAAAAGTTGATTCGGGTAATCCTGCTGTGCTTGTGCTCCTTGACTTAACATTTTAACATTTTAATTTCTCGTCTGGAACAATATGTTGGCCTTAAAGCAGCCGCGGCGCCAGGGGTAGGCCTGGGTAGGCCAGTGCCTACCAGTTTTTTTCTTGGCCTACTCAAATTTGTTCTTCGCCTCTCAAGTCATTAGCGTTTTTTATTAAAAGTCATAATTTAAATATTGTTATTTTTAAACACAAATTATTGCTAATGCCTAAATGTTGCGTTCTAATGTTTTAAGAAAATATAACCCCCTGAACGTCATCACGTTCCTACGTTGCTTCAAATATAGTCCTGTTTATTGGCTGAACAATTTTGTCCAATATCATATCACACAGCGTGAAGCTCGTTCCCGAGAACAACCAGCTATTCCTCGTCTTAAAGATTGACAACGCTCTCAAAACATTCACAACAGAGCAGCCTTTTTCATTTTAGTTTTAAGAAAGTTCAGCGTGAACTTTGTGAGGTAGAGTCGCCAGAGGCCCGGGCCCGTAGGTCCCAGAGGAGGAGAGCGCGGTCAGGCCAGGCTCGCCTCGCACTGATGAGGTAAACTCTAGGCCTGTGTGAGACACACTGTGGGCCTCATGTATGAAACCGGCGTACGGCCAAATCAGGGTGTAAATGAGGCGTACGCAAAATATTACACTTTTCCGCATTTATCTATCTGGACGTGAGCGTACAATGCGCAAAAAATATACGCCAGGTCTGGAGGTGGTGTAAATCTACGCTGATCTCAACCTTCGGCACAACACGCCAAAACACGCATGAAATTCAAGATATGTACAACAATAAACATATTCCCTCTGGCAAAATTATATGCTGTGTTTTCATTGAGGATCATGTTTCAAAATTTGAATTTGCGCATCAGAAAAAGTCTAATGGAAACACGCAAACTTCGAATAAATCACAGCTCATGATGAGGACCCTCTATTAAATCTGACTTGTGTGTGTATTATTTTGATCTGTATGTTTTTAAAATGTGAAGCGCTTTGTGATCCTGGACAGTGAAAGGCTCTATATAAATACACTTTACGCAACAGGGATGTGTGACCCGTCTATTGCTGTGGCAGGCTCTGCGCTGCGTAATTACGCACGGCTATTTGTATTCCTCATTCACATCTGGTAAAGCAATGTGTTATTTCATTAGATTTGTGTAAGCCTCACACAGACACACACCCCAATAACGCATCGATGGTATTGCTCACTCACAAATGTCTCACTGCCCTGTCCAGAGTGCGCAGCGAGTGCCGTGAGAGGTCGCGCCACATGTGCAGAAGTTTTGGCTCCAGAGTTTCTTTGTGAAATCTGGACCGCAAACGCTCTCTGAAGTGTACAGCGCTTCA